ATCGGGTTGCAGCGGGCAGTCGTGCGCGTCGGGCGCGGACAGCGTGCTGTACGTGGGCAGCTGTCACGGACTCACGCGGATGCGCGTTGGGCGCTGGCGTGATGCTGGGCTACACGGACAAGTGCAAGGGTAAGGAAGTGTTATTGTTAGATTTTGAGGAAGGGTATGTTGGTGAGGAGGAAAAGCCACAGGAGGAGTCTTTATTGCATATGATTAAGAGCAAAAAGCGTTGTCCGAAGATGATCGCATTCACGGCTAAAATTAGAGGTAAATTGGTGGAGGTATTGGTTGACAGCAGATCTACGCTGAACTTCATTGATGAGGAGCTATCCAAATAGATCGAGATTCCATTCACAAAGGTCAAGCCTTTTGGAGTCAAAGTAGCCAACGGAGAAACACTTCGAGGGGATATTCTCTTCAAAGGTGTAAAGATGGAAGCTCAAGGTCAGAAGATGAGAGTGGATCTGTATGCCTTGTCATTGAAGGCGACTGATATAGTACTTGGATGCCAGTGGTTGGAGACTTTTGGTCCAATCACAACTGATTATTGGAGAGGAAATATGGAGTTTGGGCGATCAAGTAAGCGGATCAAGTTGAGGACTGAGGATCAGGCGAGTCACCTGACGAGGACGAAGATGATGGTCGAGTCCGAAAGCTGAACTTCATTATCCTTGGGGACAAGGAAAGTCTCGAAGAGGAGGGGAATGATATGGAAGTGGAGATCAACAACGACAAGTCTAGCGAGGGGCTAAAGTGCAAAAGGTTCGCATCGGCCCTTGATGCGCATGAATGGGTGAACAAGCCACGCACGCGGGCTTTGCGAGGAGTACGCGGGCGCGCGGGCGGCAGGTGCACGGGCGTTGGCTGGGACACGCGAGCATCACGCGGAGTGACGACGGGGCGCGAAGGGGGCGCAAATGGGCAACACGCGAGCCTAGGCCTTGCAGGCCTAGGAATGACGAGCGTGCGGCACTACGTGTGCGAAGAAGTCGGCAGCAGGGGGGCGCGCACAATGGCGCACGACTGCAGTGCAGACGCGCAAGACCCAATCCGCGCGAGACTAGGCATGGCGAGCGGACGGCGCGCACGCGCAGGCGGGAAGCGGTAGGGGCGAACTGCGTGCGATGGGGCGCGCGTGCAGGGACAGCGCGCAGGACGCCGAGTTCGACTAGGAGTAGGAACTGAGGGCGCGCGCAAGAGGCGGTTCGCGTATGGAGCGGCCGAGGGTTTGAGGTGTGTGAAAGACTTGGAGTTCTAGAAATTCTTGGAGTGCAAGCCAAGCATTAATAGTTTTAGTAATATTAGGATTTTATTACCATGTTGCTTTTCATTCTAGAATTAGGAGATCTAGATCTATTAGGCTTAGATTTAATTTATGCATCTATAAATACCCATGTACCTCTTCATTATTGAACATGTTGAGAATTGATGAATGAATAGAAAAGGGGGAACTTGGTGTTCTTACGTGTGCTTAAACAAGGCCGTTAGTGCGTGTTTACATACAGTGTAGGAGAGAAGGCCATTAGTGCACCTTGAAGTCACGGTGTCTAAGAGAAGGCCGTAGTGCGTCTGTTAGTCACATCTATCGTGTGTAGTCGAAGGCCCTGAGTGCGCGATTACTCACACCAAATAGACAACAACCGCGATCACACTCTCGATCACTC